ACTCTGCAAAAAAATCTGGGCTCTTGAAAAAACAAAAGAAAGAAATGAAAATATGAATGATATTCAATCAAAGGATCCGAATGATGAAATTCTGGAAATTCCAAATGGAGAACCAAGAAGAATCTTAGAATTGACCATTTCTGCTCGAAAATGCTTGATAGCCCTCAAAGCTGTTGCCCTATTGCTAAACAGACTTTTCTCCTAGACTGGAATTAAAAACTGTTCCATTTCTGGCCAAAAAAAAACCCACTTTGAAATATGCTGAGGAAGGACCCCGCCCTCCTCTTGACCAAGTAAGGTTTAGGATTCTGCACAGAGTCGTGTTTGAAATTTTTCATAATTTTACCAGGAATGAACTACATGTACATGAGAAATTCAAAACATTCAAAAAGTTGCAAGTAAGTGGTAAGGCAATTGCAAAGCCTTCAATACTATGAAAATGTGTTGCCATTTGAATGCTGTTTTTTTTTATTGTTATTAAAAGAAGAGGGAGCTCAAATTCAGCTAATATCAGTTCTTTACATCTGTCTGTAAACAGTGTTTCAAGAGTCTTCAACTCTTTCTAGTTTGTCACTTTAAATAAGAGTAAAATAAGATATACATGTATATATAATGATGGTTATCAACTTATCAGAGTTGTTTACTTTAAAAAAAAAACAATTTGTTGCCATTGTTGGAAAACAAACAGATATTTTGTGAAATCTTTCAAGATGCTGTATTATAAAATATCTTCTTTTACAGTTTTTTACTTATTTAGACTTCTTGCATTTTAATGAATAAAAGTGAATAATAATATTGCATTTTTTGTATACAAATAAGGAAGAATATTCATGAATAGTTCATGAATTTTATTCATTCATGAACATTCCTGAATAAATTTTATAAATTATTCATGAATAGTTCATGAAGATGCAATGAACTTATTATTGGACAATTCTTAAAATGATGAATCTTCATGAATATGACTCTTCATGAATTATTCATGAAAAAATATATTCATGAATATTCATCAACTTTCTTTCATGAATAAAAATTCATGATTTGAAAATGTCCAATAATAAGTTAATAGGATCTTCATGAACATTTCATGAACATTTCATGAATAAAATTCATGAATAATTCAAGGAAAATCATGAATTATTCATGATCATCTCGCAGGGGAAGTTAAAAAAGTAGATCACTGTGACTTACTCTTTAATAAATTTGTTTTATGGCCCCTAGATCCATCACCTTACAAGATTTAATGATTCTAAATCTCTCAGTATTGGAATTAATGACCTTAATTGTTTTAAAAAAAATTCACCATAAAATTCTCAGAGTAGTTCAAGGTGACCTACTTTTTAGTCAACATACTCTGAGGACCCAAGATACATCAACTGACAAAGTTTGATGATCATACACCTTAAATTGTTCAAAATATGCCTCCAAATCATTTTGAAAAAGAATGGCCGCAAAATTTAAAAAGTAGGTCACTGTGACATACTTTTGAGTCAACATGATATGAGGTCCTTAGATGATCATTAATTACAAGTCACCCTGACCCTCTGTGATTCTTTGTTCACTTTGATAAAGTCTAAAACAACTTTATCCAGTCTCTTGTCAACCTTGACTTTACCTGATAATAACTCATCCACTGTCATACAGATCACCTCAGTGTAAACACACTGTGTACAGTTTCAACTTTTGCTAAATATATAAACTATCTTTATGTCAATCTTTTATACAGTCCCTGAAATGTTCTACTTTCCCATTTTTCCATTCGCTCACCGTTCATTCAGCGTATGTTCACCGTTCGTTCACCATTTGCTCTCCCTTCACAGTCTTGCGTTCAGCGTTCACCATGCGCTCGCGTTCACTGTTTACAAAATGTTCAGCGTTTGCTCTCTGTTCATTCACTTTGCATTCAGCGTTCACATATAGTTCAGTCTTCACTGTCATTCGGAACTCCGGAGTGAAAGGACTTATCTTTTTGTAGGTAAGGATTCACAGGTTTTAAAATTTAACAAGAGGCCTAGGGGCCACATCACTCACCTGAGCAGTATGGCTTAAAAAAGTTTAAATATAAAAGTGGTTCCAAGGGGGGGGGGGGGGGGGGGGTAATGAATTTAACAAATTTGAATGTACATTATCTCAGGATGCTTCCATGCAAAAATGACCAATCATGGCTTTGCTGTTATTGAGAAGAAGATTTTTAAAGATTTTTCCTATATATTCCTATGTAAAACTTTGATCGCCCATTGTGGCCCCACCCAACCCCCGGGGGTCACGATTTGAACAAATTTGAATCTACACTACCTGAGGATGCTACCATGTAAATATGACCAATCATGGCTTTGCTGTTCTTGAGAAGAAGCTCAGGTGAGCTAAAAACTGATTATGACTGTCAAACAAATGAATTTGTTGATTTAAAAAATGGTTATTTAACTGCCTGATATATTTAGAAAAAAAAGATTTTTCTTGTTTGATACAGGTACATGTACATGCATTTTGGGAAGGGGGAGGGGGCTAAAACGGAATCTCTCTCTCTCTCTCTCTCTCTCTTATCTGTTTAATCAAAACTATAAAAGCATGCTATACTTAAATATCAAGTTCTGAAATTTTAATCTATATATAACAAATAATATGAATGCTTCTTTGTATCATCTTGTCTGAGTATAATCACTTGCAATTGTTACAGATACATGTAGAAGTTCGATAGAACATTGTATCGTTAAAATGATATTGTCCTATGGACCCGTTGTAATGTGAGGGCTTGTCCTGAGGCACAGTAAGATTATTCTAACTATGAAGAAGTCTGTTTAATAAATCATCATAAATAAAAAAAATAAAAAGACACATAAATATATTATTGCATTAAATTTTTAGAATACGAGTGTATTTATGTAATACGTCCATAGACCTTTGTAAAATATTTTTAATTTTTTTCACTTTATTTTACAAGAATCGCCTTGGCACGGAAATACATGTGTGGTTGTTACAACTGTTGTAATTCATTCTATCATAATAGGTCATCATTATAAATGGTTTTATATATCAAATAAGAATAAACATATCTATTTTACAACTAGAATAATCTTATCTTTTAAACTACACCGTTCAGTGACAATTACAATGTTTTACAGCGATAAATATCATGTGATTAAACAACTGAATTTAAACATCATACATATGTGCAGAAAATATTGTAAGAAACTTAATCAACAGTTTTACTAAATGTGCATGTTTCCTCTTTCTTAGGACAATTTTTGAATAGTTATTTATTTATTCATTTAATATTTATTTATTTTTTTTGCACCTGAAATTAAAATACAATAGAATAGATACAATGTAAGGAAAAGATCAGAGGCATTCCGAATAAATCGTTCATCTTGCATTCACCGTTCGTTCACCGTTCACTTTGCATTCGCGTTCTGTGTTCACTCACCGTTCACCAAGTTGCATTCAGCGTTCACACATCATTCACTCACCGTTCACTCTGCGTTCGTTCAGCATTCGTTCACCGCTCAAGTGGAAAGTAGAACTTTTCAGGGACTGTATTGCTTTCCAGGCAAGAATCTGACTTTGAGCATGCTTTGCTCATTTAAACCAAACATTCATTTTTATTTTGTTTTTATATAGTATATATAAAATTCTTTCTTGTATTCTCATTCAATCAAATAACCTGTTAATTAAATTATACACAAGGATTTCTTGATTAATACAATCTAGCAAAGGGGAGAAACTCTCATTTGCTTCACTTAATTATTACAGTTTGCCTCCTAGAGGAAAGGCACATTTACTTATCATGATATTTAATACATTTACATTGATATCATGGCATTTAGTTTGTTTGCTAAGTACTCAGAGGCAGAGGAAAAGATTTTCAAAGCATTAAAGCATTTTTGTTAATCAATAGAACCCCTGACCCAGGGGCAATGAAATTCACAATTTTAGAAAAGGCACTCCTCCTTATCATAACTATGTACTTAGTTCATCGACTTAATACCCAGGAGCAGAGGAGAAGATTTTCAAAGAATTAATGCATTTTCACTAATCACTATATAACCATTAGAGCCCCACCTTAACACCAGAACCCTTGATCCAGGGGCTATGAAATTCACAATTTTGGAAGAGGCACCTTTCCTCATAACTATGCATATTGTTTGTTTGCTTAATACCCAGGAGCAAAGGAGGAGATTTTAAAATAAATAATGCATTTTCAATATATATTCAACAGAGCCCCACCCTAGCACCAGAACCCCTGACCCTGGGGCCATAAAATTCACAATTTTGGTAGAGGGTTCAATGCTTATTACAATCATGCAACAGTTTGACTGCTTGATGTCCAGGAGTAAAGAAGAAGATTTTTAAAGATTGCATTAATTTTAGTGGTTTTGGCCCCATCCCTTAGGGCCCAGGGGGTAGGGACCATGAAATTCACAATTTCTGTTCCCCTTCACTCATAGATGCTATATGCCAAAATTGGCTGAAATTGGTTGAGCGGTTTCAGAGAAGAAGCTGAAAATGTTCAAATGTTAATGCAAAACCCATGACGACAGATGAAAACAGATAGCAATAGGTCACCTGAGTTTACTAATAAAATATTTTACTATCAAGAATGGTAACTACATTACTACTGTGGTACAAAAGAACAGTAGCTTTGTTTTCCCAAGATGTGAAATTAATTTCATCACCAAATTTGTTATACTGCCATGATTTCTAAATTACAAAAGGGAGTGGTTTATTGAGAGTTAACTGCATGTACAATGTAGTTAAAATTTATAATTTAGACTTAATTTGGTTTTCTTTAGGCCAAAAAAATTAATCTTTACTTTCTTAGGCGAAAAATTTCTAAATTTAGTGGAACAGAACAGCTTTAAACATTCCCAGCCTCCTGAATTCTAAGCCAAAAATTATTTACTTATAAATTCTGAGCTTAATTTGCTTAATTTGTATCTTTTATTTATAACTTAACTTTTCTTTGATATAAAACTAATAAGCTACCACCATTCAGAACATACCTTCATAATCCATGACAATTCTGTCATTCAATGACATTTCCTTCAATGTGTCATCTGTAGTCCACTTCAGAATAGCTTTTGGATTGGAGTAAGGTGGGTCACATGTCAGCATTACATACTGTCCGAGAAGCACAACCTTTGGAGGTCGGTCATTATTATTTTGAAAAGATGAGATATCTGCCTCTATTAGTTCAACCTTTTTGCTCAGTGACAGAGCTTGGCTGCTAGCACTGCCTGCTCTGCATTGGTATATCCCATAATCACTCTCCTGAACATGATGAATGTTTAAAGTACCAAGTCCATGTTCTTTATAAATCCGTAAAGTATTGTTTTTATATCTAACTTCATCTGAATTAAAATCTATCAATTTTCCATCTTTAATCCAGTCATATCTGAAATTCCAAACAAATATGATTTTATTAAATATTTTACTCAAACTATGTTCACTTTATGATTTCTTTTACATTTATGCTATCTCATAAAGCAAAACAAGAGGCCCAAGGGCCTTAACGGTCACCTGAACAAAATACAACACTATAAAGGATCCATAGAAGTATAAAACAGAATTAACTGATAGACGAGGCAATGTTGCCCAAGAATTTCAAAAATCTGGTAAAAATACCCTTGCTAATTGTTATGTGCTAGACCTGAGTGATATCCTTGGGATCACACTTGGGTTTCCCAAGTCTTACTGGGATGATAATGAATGCAAAATATACAAATACATCCAAATATGTTTTTATCACTTACCTTGTGCTACAATTCAGTACACATAGACTTGGGTATACAACATGGCTATTTGCCACTTGTCACTAATTACAATAAGTCACCCTGGTTCTCTGTGATTCTTTGTTCACTTTGATAAAGTATAAAAAACAACTTTATTCAGTCTCTTCTCAACCTTGACTCTACCAGAGACAATAACTCATCTACTGTCAAACAGATCACCACAGTGTAAACATACTGTGTACTATTACAAATTTTGCTAATTATATAAATAATCTTTATGTCAATCTTTTATATTGCTTTCCAGGCAAGAATCTGACTTTGAGCATGCTTTGCTCATTTAAACCAAACATTCATTTTTATTTTGCTTCTATATATATATATAACATTCTTTCCTGTATTCTCATTCAATCAAATAAGCTGTTAATTAAATTATATACAAGGATTTCTTGATTAACAAAATCTAGCAAAGGGGAGAAACTCTCATTTGCTTCACTCATTTACAATTGTGTACCCTGTTTGCCTCCTAGATACCTAGGAGCAAAGAAAAGGCACATTTGCTTATAATTATATTTAATACATTTACATTGATATTATTGCATTTAGTTTGTTTGCTTAGTACTCAGGGGCAGAGGAGAAGATTTTCAAAGCATTAATGCATTTTTGCAAATTAATCAATAGAGCCCCACCCAAGCATAAGAACCTCTAACCCAGGGTCCATGAAATTTACAATTTTGGAAGGGACACACTTTCTCATCATAACTAGAGTGGCGCCACATTTATCCAAACGCCATTTATCCGTACTTTTTTTTGGGAAACTGATTTTTCCCACGTTATTTTGTCTCATTTATCCAGAAATTCGCGTTCCATATCTGGACGGTCGATTTCTACTACAAAACGTAATACTTCATTGAAAAATGACTCCTTTATCCGGACGGTAATTTTTCAAAAAAGAACTTTACACTTATCATGAGTAGTGTTAATTGTTGTAAAAACATTGGCCATGCAGTCGGTTTGAAGGCGGTTACCTATGACCTACAAACAATAGCGTCTATAATAAGGGTGTGTTTATCCCAATTAAATCAATGTTTATTATGAAGCTCGAAGAATTTATCTTACACTGTGAATTAATTAAATAAAAATCAGTTTAAAATCATATTGTTAACCGTATATACATCAGTAAATTCATTTAAATGCATTTAAAACACTTTTTCACACAAGATAGTTTAGAATAGTACATAATTGAAGAAATATCTTTCTATTTAATGTACTACCATCTATAAACGTATATTACTTTAGAAAAAAAATATTAAACTGGCGTTAGGTATAGAAGTTGATTACGTTTTTCAAGGTATTTTTGAATGATTGAAATTCAAACTTAGCGTCTGCAGAAAAAAATATTGATAACCATGAAGATGGCTTGTGTTTACATTGGATGTCTTCAATACTTTCACTGACTGCACGTGCCTGAGTTTGCTTGCAGTGTTCAGTTAATTATATAGTAACCCTATGTAATGAAAATACGGGGAATATACGGGGTTAGTTTATACTTGAACATTTGCAATGATGATGCTAAATAGTTTTGTCATATCATATGAGCTTCAATAATTATAATATATGAGGAAATAAAACAACAGCAGGTCAAAATTTGATCAACCCATTAAGTCACATGCCAAAAAGAAGGGGAATAAAATTCCCCGTGTTTAAAATGGAGGTCTCAGCATAATATTGCTTATTATCCATTTTTTATTGTGTAAATTACATTTTAATACATTTAATTAATTACTTCTTTTAAAACTATAAAATAAAAACAATAAACCAAAATATTAAAGTTTCTTTTCTTTGCCGTCAAATTTGATAGAGGAATGTACATATATACATGCTTGGAGAGTGTTTTTTGAGAAGTGATTCACTTATCTGGACGATTTTGTTGGGGACAGAGGCGTCCAGATAAACGAGGCGTCACTGTATGTATTTAGTTTGTTTGCTTAATATCAAGGGGCAGAGGAGGAGATTTTCGAAGCATTATTTTATTTTCAATATATTATGAGCCCCCCACCCCCACAGAACCCCTGGCCAAGGGGTCATAAAATTCACAACATTGGAAGAGGCATTCTTCCTCATCAAAACTATGTACAGTATTGTGCCATTAGTGATTGTCCAAATTCAAAATGGCCGCCACTATTGCACAACTAGCTTGGTAAAGAAAACTTGGAATAAAAAATAATGAATTTTCTTACCTTAATATTTTGATATATAGCCTTTTGATTGTAATACTCTTTGTATTCTTCAGGGGATTGATCTGAATACTGTATAGGGGGAAAATAACTCACGGTGTAAATATTCACTATATTCATGGTGTTGATAAATCCGTGAATTCAAGAAACAGTAAATATGTTTTCAATAAATTTTTTTGGAATATGAGTTTAATAGACTTTTGAGCTCAAATACTGTTCATTATCTCCACATAATTCATATAGACTATGATAGGTATATTTACAGACAGTAGTCACTCAGTATATATTATGAGTGGTACTTGTCATTCAATTATTTTAATTATTCCGCTTTACTTAACTTAACGACGTTGGATCCTGATATTTAAAGTCTTAAACTTTTTTGTCAAGTATATTTTTAGCTTCTACACACATAGCTTAATTAAAAATCAAAACAAAAAATGGGGGTCAATATGCTTCTTTTGGCGCTACAGTACATTTAATATGACCTTTTTGCACTGAATTTGTGTCTTAATCAAAAATAACATCTTCGACGTTTTCCCTCCAATATTTTTTATCCAAATAAATCATGGGACAAAGTATGCTATTATTCTTTCTTAAAAAAGACACATTAAAATTGTGACCAAAAAAAATATTTCAAATTGCTTCGCATAATCAATTATTTGACCTTTCTGCACTCACAAAATGTCATTTTTCGGGCATTAAAAATTTAACAAGCAAGAAAAATATTTTAAAGTCTTAAACTTTTGCTGAATTTAAGTAGATTGATCAGAGTTATCTTATATATTCTGAAAAGAAAATCAAAAGTGAAGGTCTATGATGTTATTTTTTAGATATTACTAAAAAACTGTTAATTTTATGATAAAATTGGCTCATTTTTTTCCTGGAGTTTCAGAATATATTTTCTATATTTGTCACAATATGATGATAGAATTCACAAAAAACTGATTTAATTAATATTTTAGAACCAGCATTAAACATTTCAATGCACAAAATAACTCTGTGTGCAACCAGCATGGAAAAATAGGAATCTAAACTTAACAGTACTGTATATATTTCAAAAGGGAAAAAATGATCATTTTCTTCTAAAAAACCTTCCGCCACAAAATATAGTTCCTGGCTTAATCCTATTTGAATGGAATTTAATTGCGATTTTTTCATTGAATATAGTATAATTTGCATTGTAGAATCCAGATTTAATGTTAGAACTTAAAAATAATGCAGAATTTTAGAAATAAAGCTCAAGACCAAAATCTGCTCAAAAGCTCAGGATTGAACGTCCTTAAATCAGTAGGTAATGACCTGTATTTATTGCTGAAAAGCTATTTTAATAGCCAACGCTCTATGTTTGATCAATCAAAACACATGGGTCATGGGTATTGATTACTGATTACCCTTGCGTAACTAACATTAACAATCGTACTAATTTTTTCCCGACATTTTGGTTTAAAAAATATTTAATTGAATAACTCTCGTATCTACTGTAGATATGGAAGGATATTATTTTGTCGATGTACATTAACACAATTATTATCGTTGAGTGATCGTCAAGTGGTTTTCGTTGCGATATCATCATTTCTTCAGAAAGAAAATCTTCGGGTGTACATGTACATGCACTCATCATAATAGTATAGAGGAAAGTCCTTAGACCTTTATAGTCAAAGACGTTTAATGGCACTTGTTTTATTGTAAATTAATTACCAAATCTAACCACTTTATTCAAACCTCCCCGAATATTGTTTATGAAGTGAATATATAATGATGATGAATATCTTTCTACAGCCAAGGGAGGTAACTTTTATTTTACACCAATTCCATGAATTCATCAAGCTGTGATCATGTCAGAGGAGAGAAAAACGTGAAAATTACAACTCGTGAAATTATTCCCCTATACAGTAGTCAACCGGAATATTTGTCTACACCCATCTAATGGCTGTCTCCAGTTCATTTTTGGAGGTGATAATTCTGTTGCCATTTTTCAGTTCTCTTTTAATTCTGAGCCAGAGGTTCTCTACAATGTTTACATCAGGACTCTGAGCTGTCCAAAAGTAAAATAATGTTATTTTGTATCTTGAATTCTTGCACTAAACAGGCTCTATGTATGGGTGCATTGTCATCTTGGAAGATGTAATTATTCTGACGAAAATGACGCACAATAACAAGCACAAGTGTTCATCAATGATATCAATATATTTCTGTGCATTTATATTGCCATCTACGACAGTAAGTGTGCCTACACCATTAAAGGTTACATATCCCCATACCATCGAACTGAACTTAGGTGTTGGAGGTTGCAATAAACAACAGGGTAGCCAGTCCTCGCAAACCTTTCTCCAGATAAATACTCTCTGCCAGTAATTGTCGATAATTGTCTCCTACGAGCTAATTCAGAGAATTTGTGTCCCCCGCTTAGGGAAAAAAGAAGAGCATGC